AGCAGGAGCAGAGGGGGGGGGGGGAGTGTGGGGTTGTTAGAGCCCCACCCACTTCGGGCGGGCCAGGGTTGAAAAACACTGGTCTAGAGGAAAGGGCAAGGCAGGGCTTGTCAGCTGACATTCAGAAGCCCCAGCCTTCTTGATTCTGAGAATTTTTTTTTTTAAATAAACAGGTTCCCCAGCCAGAAAAAAATTGAGAATCCATGGCTTAACACATTTGGTTGATGATGCGGTCATTAACTCAGTTCCCCTAGACTGCTTTCAGAGCCAGGTTGGTGTAGTGGTTATAGGCACTGGGCTAGAAACTGAGAGACAGCAAGTTCTATACTTGCCTTAGGCATGAAGCCAGTTGAGTGACCTTGGACCAGTCACTTTCTCTCAGTCCTAGGAAGCAGGCAATGGCAAGCCACTTCTGAAAAACCTTGCCAGGAAAACTGCCAGGACGGGTTCAGGAATTACTTGAAGGCATACAGTACACACACACACACACGCACACACAGTTGAGAGCTTTAGGATACTGGGGGCATGCTCCTCTTCTAGTTGCTGACCCTGCCTTTCATGGCTATTTTGGCTTGGGCTGTAGGATACCTGGGCTCCAGACAGGTTTCTGTCCCATCATTTTCCAAAAGGCTGGATAGATCTTACCTGGAATCCTTACAAATACAGGTTTAGCACCCTGTTTTTAAAACATGATACCAGCACTCTTTGAAAGAGCTAGGCCCGTGTTTAAAAAGCAAGATTAGTGCTCTCCTAAGAGAATGCTTGTCAGATGCTTCACAGAAGGAAGCTGGGAGAGGAAGCCAGCTTCCACCAGCTGTCTGTTACAAAGGCATTTGTTTGCTGCAAAGAAGGTCAGTTTGAAATGGGGAAAAGAGAAAAGGAAAAGGTTCTGCCAGATGGATGTTGCTTGTTCTGTCATCAGTGAGTGCATTACAAGTTTCTTGCTGTTTCTGACATCAAGAGTTTAACCTGGCTGTACATTTTGCTGTTTTTGTTACTTTGGTTGTGGGAATAATGGTGTCCCATTGCCTCTGACCCAGGTACTTCTGGATGCTGTTGGAATGACTACTCACAGTGCCATTCCATTGCAGCACAAGCTGAGGACAGAACTTGCTCCTTTTCAGTCACCCTCTTCCTCTGTGCCTGTTAGCCTGGGGTGACTTGGGAGGGAGAAAGGGCGCCCAACCTTCCTTGCAACCTTGCTTCCCTGCCCATGACCTGTCAGTTGAACAGTGGTCTAATGTTCCTTGGGCCTGCTGCTCAAAGCATCCACTACATTCGCCCAGCCTTGCCACACCATACGTCAAAGAGAGGGATCATCGATGATTGTTTTCCCATTGGCAGTTGATGCCCAGTGGGAGGGGGAAAAAAGCAGGGGAGGGGAGTCTACCAATCACTTTCTTTAACTTTCTTGCATTAAAACTGCAAGGATGGCACTATGTGTTGGCCATATTATTGAGGCAGAGCAGCACTCAGAGGCTGGGGAAGCACACTTTATGCAGGCTCAAGGCCTGGGGGATTGCACTGACAGACATCCGGCTGTGCCCTTCCTGAGGTTCTCTTAAAGCGTGGCACCGTAACAGTTTCCGTTTATGCTTATTGTAAATGTATCTTTTTTTGCATGCAATGAGGAAACTGTGTTTAAGAGTGGGGAATAACTCCCACTGACCCCCCCCCACAAAACCCCCCCACAAAACCCTATGCAAGTTAGCAAATCTAAATTTCATGAATGTGGAGTCTTTCATAATTTATTACAGCCTCTTGCATCATTGTAAAGGTTGATAAATATTTTATAGCATCATAAATGTGTGAGTTGCAGCTCTTGTTTGGAATTTTTTCATAACTTAGTAAACGGAAACTTCTTGGCAAATTAAAATTTAAGGTGTTAAAGTACTGCTGATTGATAGTGGCTGCTGGTTACTGAATTATCCAGGTTAATTCTGGATGCGTACATTGCGCTGAACCCTATACTAAGTAGACGGTTTGGGTTTGTACTACAAGCTGAGCCATTTAGCTGGTAACCGAGATTAACCAAACATGGCATGTTGTGCAAACCCAGCCGCTGGATCTTTATCTGTCCTGCCTAAGTGCGTGGCGTGAACTGAGCGCGTGGTGTCAGACGATGGACCAGCGGCTAGAGCAGGGGAAGAGAAGGAACACAAACCGTCTACCCAAACCCAGCTACAGCAAGCGCGCTCTCCAGGAAGAAAACAACAGGAAACCAAGCACGTGACTCAGATCATATGAGTGGCTGGTACTTTAAAAAAAAAGAAAAGGAGAAAAACAAACAACAAAAGTCACGCTTGCAAAGCAGACCCCGGGCGGAACGGCTAAGGGAGTGGGGGAAGTGGGTCGACTCCGTCAAGGCTGTCACCGCCAGGAATGAGGAGATGAGCGCAGCTGGCGGGCTGGAAGGTCACCTCCCTCTCCTCGGATGGGCTCTTACCTAACCGGCCCGGCCCGAGAGGACCCGATCGCTAAAGCGAGGCTCTACCCGTGGCGTCTTTGCTGCGGCGGCGGCGGCTGCTGCTGCTCTCATCCTGGGTTGCTGCGTCTCTCGGCAAAGGCTCGATAGGCGAGGAGGAGGAGCGGGAAGCGTCTCTGGCCCGGGGGGCTGGGGGTTGAAGTCAGCGGTCCCTTCTTAAGCCCCTAAACTCCTCGCGCAGGAGGGCCGATCCGCTGGCGCGTCCTCTCCTAAGCGTTAGCACCGAAGAGCAGCGGCAGCTCCGCCGCTGACAAGCGCCCTCCCCAAATGCACAAGGGCTGGGACGGTCCTTCCGAGGGCGGGTTCAGTCCGCTTCGGTTCCCTATTCGGGTAGGCCACGCCTTCTGGGAGGCACTCCGTGAGACTCTACACGGAGCCGCCGGGGTGAGCGTGAGAACACGGAGCGGGGGGTTCTGTTTCTGCTACAGCAGGCCAGCAGGAGCCCTCGCTCAAACTGAAGGGAAAGGGGACACACAGAGCAAACAAGCAAGCTGTAACAGTATCAGCTGGATTTGCTGGAACTTCTTTTGTCTAAAGTCTGTTGAAGTTGAAATATATCTATTGCATAACTTCGTGGGGCGACAGCTCCAATAATTCGCAGCTAGCACAGCCCTGGTGATTCGGTTTTATTGCTTCTAGTTCAAACATCTGGAAGACATCACCAGCTTGGCCAAGCCTCGCATAAGACTCTAAAGGAGGATCAAATCTCCGCCTATGAGTTTTATGCATGCTGGGCTAGCGTAGCCAGGAATAGCAATCACTTTTATTGAACGCATCCTGTTGGTGCCAGATCCCGGAGAAAAGGCAGGTGGATAATCCAAATCAGTACATCCAGTTAGCCAACTGGGTACATACAGAAAGTACCACTGGGCCAATATTTTGAGAAGTCATGTGTTGCAAATAGATTACAGAGGATGTTTGCCCAAAGTTCACTTGGAAGATGCAATAAGGAAATAATCATTGGCTTCCTGTATTTGGAAAAGCGAAAACAGGATGTTTCCAATTTTAGTGAGATTTACAGCTACCTTCTTGCCTTAGGAAGACTATTTGGGTATCAGAAAACTCTTGTGCTATTTTGTAAACCTACAGTAGGCTTTGTGTTGATCGGCATATTCATGGCCTTGAAAAATCAACTCGCAAACATACCTATGAAGAATAGAGGAGAGCTCATTTAGGGAGGTTGATTCCAATTTCCAATTCTTCCCTCTTCTTTCCTCCA